ACCGGCAGGGTAGATCTGATGAAGTGCTGAATATAGCAGTGGTTATATCCTCCACAAATATCCAGATTAGCAGCGGTTAGAACCACCACAAATTATATCCAGATGAATTGATATTTAGTTTTGTGGCGGTTATAACCGCCACAAATGTCCAGAATTTGAAAAAAAAAATACAAAACCTAAATGTTCAATGCAATATCATATACACATAAGCAACATATCAAAATGATAATGTTATAGGAACGTTGACATATTAAGGTATCCAACTCTACCCATTCAAAAACAAAAAGAACAGAATAATTTTCAAAGGTAAAAAAGAAGAATGCGAGACCAATAATAAGCATAATCACAAATGAACTTTACTACTTGTTCTCCAAAATCACATAGAAGTAATTAAGGATATAAATATAATTAAAAAAATGTTGTTGAGGTGGTGAAATAGAAAAAAATGGAGAATAATCAAAATTATTATCAGTGTCATAATTACATGCTTAGCACAACACAAATTCCATCAAAAAATACTGAGATGAAGGCATTTTAAAGATAAATGAAAAATACATAGTGCACTTTAGTAATAGTTGATCCCAAGTGGCAATGAGCCCCAACAAGTTTGAGTTCATTTGGATAAGATTTTATAGTGTCTACAAACCATTGCATCTTCTCATTTCTGATTCCAAACTTGGAATTCTTGTTTCATGTTGCTACATAAGGATGCACCTAATGAAAATGAAAGAAAATAAGAAATCAAGTTTCCATAAGGATGCACCTAATGAAAAAAAAAAAAAAAAAAACTGTTGAATCATTCAACCAAAAGAGTAAGTTCTGGTTATCACTTAAGAAACATCACAACTCTTCCAAATTCTATTCCCCTTGAAACATTAGAGGTGTCTCACTACCGAAACATCACAACTCTTGCACTAGCTGATGAAATAGCAAGACTCGCAGCACTAAGATACTTGTAAATTAAAAATTGCCTCAATATGATCTCTTTCGAAAGTCATGCAGCAAAAGAATCGCAATCATAACTATTAACTAGCTTGTAAAACTTGAGTACATAAGAATGCATATCTATAGAACAAATGCGGATGATGAAAAAGAAAGAGCAGCTCCAATAAGGCAATAGCTATAGCTTCATCAACACTTGTAATGTTCACCTGTATCGAAAAATTTCAACTACATGGGATTTTTGGTGGTTAAGAATTTCACTTCGGTAAATTTCATACATATGGGCTCTCAATGAAATATAATTTCAAATCATCAGGATCACCCTTTATGAACTGTCAACAATTTTTTTAATAACTGAAAAAGCAACAACGAAAAAGTTTCATAGATTTGTTTAGCTTTATAAACTGCCAACACTAAGCAGATGTTGTTTCCTGAAGCAGCAAACCCCATAACTTCCACAAATGTCTACAGATTTGGGAACTTTGAGTTCTACTTTGTTTAGGATTCTGTCATCCTTGAAACTAGTTAGTAAAAGCCAATAGTGTATCATGTAGAATGTTTAATGGTATATTAAAGAACGCCATTACATAACAAAATAATAGAGCATTTAAGAAAAAATACATGTATAAGAGGGATTAAACCAACAAATGCAGATTTTTTATCTACATGTATAAGAGGGATTATACAAACAAATGCAAATTAAAAAAATGGTTTACAAAGAAGTTCATCATATGATACATAGAAAGCGTTCAAACGTTCACCATAACAAGAAAGAGAGTGTGGCATTCTATTTCAAAGCACATTTCACCATTTGAAGATCACAAAGACTTATTAAACAAAATATTTTAACATTTGCCCCAAAATTACATGAAACAATAGAACAGTTACCTCAAGTACCATAATTGGGACTGCAGGTAGACACTAGTGGTCCGTATGAGTATCTCCATTGCTCACATGCAGAGCATTTGTCCAATTTTATGTTGTTATCCAAGTTTAAGATAATCATCCAAATATAACAACAAAATAAAATTATAATAATTAACAATGAGATGTAGATGAAACAAAAACTCCACTTAAATCATAGAAACAAAAATCCCACATAAATAAGAGATGTAGATGAAACAAAAACTCCACTTAAACCATAGAGATTCACAAGAAATTATTAGAAAACCACATGTAGCATTAGAGGATTGGTTTGAGGCATTTCAAATTCTATTCCCCTTGAAACATTAGAGGTGTCTCGCTTCCTAAAGCAGCAAACCCCATAGCATTTGCAAAATAACTATAGCCATAATAACTTATGTCAAGGAGATCTATAGAAGACTTGTTCACTGATGGATTTTCTATAGTATTTTATGATTGATTTAAAAATATATTAGGATATATAGTGATGATTTCATTTTTCTGAGAACCATATCAATGGCACAAGAAGTGTTTAGAAAGAATTGCTAAACTATGATATTGGATGGATAGCAATGGCAATCAATACCATATATATAACTCAAAAAGAAAAATAAAAAATTCCTCTTGCAAGAAAGAACAAATCATAAAAATGTAAGAGAATAATGTTTAGGCTCATCAGTAATTAGATGGTGATCTTAACTTAACCTAATAGATATATTAGATGTATCTGTACTAGAGTTAGAATTCAAAAATTAGAATAGATGCAGGACATCTTGGAATCTAGAGCTTCTATAAAAGCAAACCTTGGTGAGGACGTCGTGTTTAATGTTATTCCCAAGAGTCTTGCTAGCATCGGCCATGAATCAATACCCTGATACCAAAGTGGAGTAGAAAATGCAAGAGGAATGAAAAAGGAGAAAAAAATATGAAAATTTCTTTGTAAAAAAATCTATAGTAGGACTAATTCATCCACTTTGTTTTTTTACAATTAATCACCGCCTAAGTATTCACTCCACTAACACAACGGATACAACCAACCAACAAAAATAAGAAAAAGAAATGAAACAGGAAAAGAAGAAACTCCACCGTGTAAAGGATATTAATCATTACTTGCAACCATTCAAATTGATAGAGAAAATTAAACTTTAAACAATTATAACCTGATAGTGGAGTGCTTCTTTGAAGCGCTGTAGCCGAAGGTAGACCTCGCCAAGATACTAGCATGTCGCAAGGAGCTGTTTCTGGGGAAGATACTTAGCCAATACCTTGTAATCTATTTGGATCCACCTCAGACCCTCAACGTACTCCCTCCTCTTGAGGAGGTCGCCGATCATGTTCGCCCATGTCGCTTCTTCCTCGTGGTTCCCATCTATAACTGCCTCTTTGTACCCCAGCTTCACTACTCTGATATGCTCGTCTTCTCTTCCCATTTTTTCCTTGCGGGTTTCAGGATGGATTAGGCATCGGGACGACAGGATCAGCATGATGTGACGATTCGGCATCGGGATGGTAGGATTCGGCATAGAGATGGGTGGCTTCGGCATTGGGGCTGCTGATTCGACGTAAATCACCGCTGAAGGAAGACGTAGGAAGATGAAGTTGGGGGTCGGCTAGGGCAAGAACGTAGGAGAACAGATTTATGAGCGGGTGCTTTAACTGGCGGTTTACAGACCACTGCTAAAAAATCTTGCGCTAACTCTAAAATAAATTTAGCAGCAGTTTTAACCGCTGTTTATATTCATTTATAACAGCGGTTTTAAAACCGCCGCTATAAAATGCTGTAAAAAAATAAACTTTTTAGTAGTATCTACTATTGAGTTGCACAGTTAAACCCAAAAATCGTAGAAGGACCATCTGTTGGTGGACGAGTGGGCGATGTGGGCCTATATGAACATATAAGTTTACAATTTTAAGCATCAATTATAAATTGAATAATCTTTTATTATTTTTTTGGAAAATGAATATATACTGACGGCTTCAAGAAAAGCAGCCCAGAGATGGTGAGGGATCCTCTAAGGGATCGACATATTATTTTGACTACCACATTTGATCGTAGGCGATAGATGGAGTGTAGAAGAGCCAAGTTTATGAATTAGGCTCGCGATCTTATGCATATGTGGGATAGTTCTCTAGTGGGTCCAACCAGTTCTCTTTTCGACCACCAATCGTCATTGTGCTTCTGCTATTTTGTTGGTCTCAGCCAGATCCCCTTCTGACTTACGACCATTGTACAACTTATGCTCATTTGATGGTTGTCGGAAGATCTCTCCCTAACCACTGATGGTCTCAAAACTTCCATCCCTCTACTAAATATATTTGGATCCCCAACCATTACCAGACCTCAGCAGAATATTCTCTCAATTGAAGGTGCCATATTTTTAATATATATTCAATCAATATCATGAGTTCTGGTCAGAAGTTTGATCAATTCTTCTATACTTTGTGTTCTCATCGTCCTTAAATTAGGGGACGATTAGACCTATGTAATATGCTTATATATTAATGGAATTATTTTAACTGGACAAGAACCCGTAGTTTCGTCCCTTTTTAGGATTTTCCTTATAAAAAATGTAGTATTTCTCTACAATAATAATTGTCAGTTTGTGTGCTGAATTTTCGTAAATTGCTAAGACATAAAATCTATTCATTCTGCTGTCACAAATTTCTCAGCCCGCAACAATTAGCAATCATTTGTTTATGCTAATGAACGTTTATTTAGATACTATTTATTAAATTTGGTTGCTAATTTCATTGATTATATTAATATTATCGCGACCAAAATAAAAGTTAGTCCTTAAATGAGGAATCAAATAAGTCATGCATGCACCCTTGAATTACTTTATGTGGTTGAAGTTAAAATATCAGTGAAATGGCGATTCATTGAATTCCTAATAGTTCAATAAAAGAGTTTCAATGAAGCCACTGGCAATGGAGAAGAGTAATTAACCAAAGAAGGATAATTATTATTAGAATATGGGAGAAAAGTATCTAATATAGTATGCGATTTCTTTAGGATTTTTCTAAAAGATGATTGATTGGATGAAGAAATATTTAACTCAAAATAATCTAAATTTTACTCTTATTTTTTTTTAGAGGAAGCATAAGCATGTGTTCTTAAATTCCAACATGATTCAAAAGAAATTTTAGTTGTGCTATTAAAAATGCTCGACAAACATAATTAATATTCTAAATCAAACAAGATACATAAGAGTGAACAAACTACTAGCTGGATACATACGAGGCTTCATAATATGTATACAGTAAAAGTAAGATAAGTGATCATATAAAAGTACATGATTGTAATTGGACTTATATGGATGCATACGTCAAGTGTTTCGATTGGCTAATTTCTCCTCCCTTCGAAATGACAGAACAGAGTATGAATGTTTGTTGATAAAATAATTAATTGATAGTCGGGTAAGAAGCCTGAGTGGCAAGTCCACAGAGTCCTTCAACAGCATCAATGTCCCTCTGTATCTTAATGTAGCCATCGTCACCCCAGCTAGTACCCCATGAGTTCTTCAAGAGCCAGTACTTGGTTCCATCTGTGTCGATGCCATAGCCGATGGCGGTTACTGCATGGTTGAGTTCGGTGTTACAAGGGCCAGTGAAGATGCCACCTGCATAATTTTTAAAGTTGGGGTCGCCGCCATCGATAGCCACAGAGACTGGCTGAATAGAGACAGCTTTAAGCAGCGATGACTCACTGTTACTTGGAACATCCTCAAAGCCAGAGATCATCACAGCACTTTTGGACTCCTTATTGGAGCTACAGGAACCATCAGCTTCATTATAAGGGTAGTTGATCTCAGTGTCGATGCCTCCATTATCGATGATGAATTGAAAAGCATCATCCACGAGGCCCCCGTTGCAACCATGGCTCTGGCCATTCACATTGCAATCAATGAGCTCTTGTTCTGAGAGGGAAATTAGATTCCCATTCTTGATTTGGTTGATGCCCTCTGTGGCTGCCACCGACGAGAATGCCCAACATGCTCCTGCTTATCATATATTTGTTATTTAGTTAT